ATGTCCAAGTACATAAATTACTCATAGTATATTGTGAGTTAGGCTTCCTCCAGCATTACTGGTGAAAGCAAGGAATTATACAGGGATATGATTACTGAGGGTCTTTTTCAGTTTTGTGGACCATAGTGACCAATCCTGGAGGCCACAGACTTGTGGCTCAGGTTCAACATTCTGCTATGTGTCTAGTTCTGCAGACAACTGAGTTTTGTTGAGGGGCTCACACTTCACACAGTTCCTTTACACTCCCCATTTCACATAATCTTTCTTATAAGCCCCTGATACATATGCTCTCATCTCCAGTGTACCACAAGGCAACTAGACAACAGATAAATTAAAAAGAAGCCCAAAGTCACATAAGTATGAAGTAGAACTTGAAATTCAGATCCACTAACTCCAAGTGTTATGCTTTTTACCCCCTACATCTCTTTTCTGTGACAGCCACTGACACAGTAGCTCATGTTGGAGTCTGGTTTATTTAGGGAGAAAGTCCCTTCTCTGTGTCATAATCCAACATTCTCACTTTATTTTGGGTATAATTTAGCATATACAAGAAAGCTCTTTGTGATGAGATCCAGGATTCTTAGAATGATGTATAAATTCATGGTCTATTGGTGCTTAGAAAATTACCACAAATTTAGCAGTATAAAGAAACAATCATTTATATTTTTAAAATTATTTTATTTATTAATTAAAATTTATTTTAATTATTTATTTATTTTATGTCAGAATATGACCAAGAGAAAAATAGGTATGAATAGATAGGAACATGAAGCTTAGGGAAAGAGATCGAAGGTAAGAGGAGACTGAAGAAAGTGTATAAAAGATGAGGGGGAAGGGAATAGAAAAAAAAAGAAAAACAAAAGAAAGGGAAGATAGGTTATTGGAGGGACAGATAAGGTGGAAAGGTAAAATATATCAAGCATATGCTATATGTCTGACATAGCTAAGGAATTAGGTCCTCACTAAATCCTCAGAATAACTCATTAACATTGGATTATTTTTATCCCCATTTTACATATAAGAAAGCAGTAACTAAGAAGGTTTAACTTATATAAGGTCAATTATATTAGTACCTAGACATTAGAACCTATGTCTTCCCAGAATTTATTATAATGTTCTGCTCCCATGCCTTCATAGACTAATAGTGAGATTAAGAAGTACTCCTCAGACTTTACTAATCTATCCTCAAATACTATTCCTATCACATTGAGAAAAATTTTAGATTGGTTTATCTGGGACCTGAATATTACATCTATGACTGTAAATCATGACATATCCATTTGAATGGATTAAGAAACACCTAGTAGAATAGTGGAGTGCAGTTTTAGGTGTGTCTGTGGATGATAGACACAGAGCTCAGCAAACTGAGAGAAGGCCCACCCCAGATATAGGTGGCACTGAGCAGTGGACTTGTAGCCTGGATGAATTAAAAAAGGGAAAGAGGAAGGAAGTATGCCTGTTTCTGAAGAGTTCTAGCCTTTCCTGTCACCCTTGGACATTGGTCTATACTTTCCTCAGCTTTCCAACACAGACTCGCAGTGGTAATTCTGCAGTGAACTTCCAGGCCTTTTGTCTTTGGACTGGTACTATATCCTTAGTCCCTTTTGTTCTGCAGCTTTCTTCTTGGGCTGAGAAGCTGCTGGATCCTCTGGCTGTCCAGCATGCAACTGGCCATTGTTAATTCTTTATCTCTGATCCTGCAAGCCTACCTAATAAATCTCCTTATGTAATTATACATATACTTTCTTTTGATTCCATTCCCCTAGAGAACTCTAACTAGTGCATTATGTATTTATGCTAATTTGGAATGTTCCTTATTTGAGTCAAGATACCTAGATTCTAGCTAAAGTAGATCTCCAAATGCATTATGCCTCAGGATATCACTCTTCTGAGACTGAGTATCTCCTCTGTATTGTAGGCTTTGGGCTAGATCAACTGCCAAGTTCTTAAAATCTGTACTTAATGTCATGATGCCAAATTTTCAACTAATTGTTATTATTGAACACTTAGATGTCCCTAAGCCATTCAAGTACATGGCAGAAAGCAGTACGGTGGGGAACAGTCTTAGCAGTACTATCAAGGATCTATCAAAATAAAGTGCAGATTCAATAGCTGCCCTCATGTAGCTAAAAAGTTATAATGTGGATTGGAAAGTAGGTGTATTTTATTGCTTCAGTTAGGACCATTGCACAGAAACTTGCAGGATTTTTCATTGTATAATCCTAGCAGGTGGTATGCATATCCAGGAAGCAGAACTGAAGATCAATAGATAAAAGTCAGAATAAAGGAAACTGTGACTAAGTAGAAAATTAACAATGCCCCCCCATAATAAAAGCTCATTCATTGTTAACTCTCATGATTATTATCTTTACAATGCTCAAATGAAGAATCCAGTACAGCAGAAGTTTCCTTTGTCTTTACAGACATGAGACTGACATCCATGTTTGCAGAAAAAGATTGGTGACATTCTCAGAGATGTTATTTTTTTTAATTGTAGAAGAACCATGTAATATCAAATCTCTTCTATCCTAAGCCTAAGCCAGCATTCGTTAAGGGAGGGAGAGTCCCTTATGTGCAGATAAAGAGAGTGGTTCCAAATGATGACCGTGTTCTAACCATTTCTGAATTATACTCTAACAAGTCAATTTCTAAACTTTAAAAATGGAGTTTCTGTAAAAATGTTCAGGGTTAGCAAATATACTCCCCCTTCTGACTTAACATCTATTTCAAACTTTTCTGTCTTCAACATGAATGCTTCCTCATGCTAAGTTATTTAGTCAATTCAATTTGGAAATTGTATTGCCAAATAGCATGTGTTTCCTATGGAAGTGTCTTTTCTTATTGATAGGAGGGACACATGTATCTGAAAAAAACAGTGTGACTATCCTCAGTGAGCTGCAAATATGCAGCTGCCAGCAATAATCACCACATCACAAGTAGATCGAAAATGAGTGCTTCATAAGCAAAACACCAAACTAGATTATTCATGCTTTATGAAAACAGAATAAAGCAGGGCTGTGGAGTCTACATGCTTGTCACTTGGGTCACATTCCTCAAAGCAACTTCAGGTAAGCTCAAGTCATTCTAACTTACAGGATTTGGTTGTGTTCTCTGACACAGCCATCTCTTGATGAAAAGGATGCTCATTCTTCTGAGCCCTCTTCTCCACTATGCCTCAAACGTTAAGCAAATTTAGTGCAGTTAGAGCACTAAATGGGCTCTTATAGTGTTAGCAAGAATCCTGCCGAGTCTGTTCAGGTATAGTCCTCATACTACCATTGGTATCTGATCAATTTCCTCACAATCCACCCTTACTGTGGCATCTCCATGCACTGTTTTAAGAATCTAATCAAGTCCTTTTAGCCAGAATCCCATTTATTCTTTATATTTTCTCCTAGTAATTCTCTACTCACTGACACTGACCCCTTCACCTGGCTGTGTCTACTTGCTCTTAAGAGTTATGCACTCTCTTTTCCCTACTGCAGACTCTCTTGGGTAGTACTCCTTCTTGAAGAAGGTCTTGCTTGCAGTCTTTATTGAGAGTCACAAGTAACTTCTTTAACATATCTTCCCTAGCCCCTGTAAATTTATCCTCCTTCCTTTTCTCTTATGCATATTCATTCAAAAACTCATCCCCTCAGCAAAAATTTATTGAGCCATAGGTCTCCACATATAGATGTGCCTGTTTGGCCTAATGATATTTTAAATCTAGTAGACGTGTTAAAATGGCATTAGGTATGTCATTCTCCTCAGGGGAATCTCTGATAAATTTTTGAACCTCAAGTTTTTGAGGATTTTAGCTAGTGTTTTAAATCTCTGATAGCATTTTATATTATTTGCTAACTGGCTCATGTGGGTGACTCTTATTTCCCCAAATTTCTCTAGGTTTGTTAGAGAAAGGAGAATGGCTCAAGCAGATATTACTGTATTACCAAGCAGTATCTGGTTCTACTCCACCCACTTAAACTCACCATGTAGTCTTTTTCTAAGTCAAGATACATTTCTTTCTTTCTCTGGGACAACTTGTTCTTTCTCTGTGCTCCAGCTCAGATTTGTAGGGTTATTGAGATCTTAGTTATCTTTTAATACTCAGACTGGAATCTTCCTATGAAATAATCTCTCTCCTCTCTCTTTTTCTCTTTCCCTCCCTCCCTCCTTCCCCTTCTCAACATCTAGAGAATGCCCTACAAATAGTTGCTGAATCCATTAATAATACACTGTCTATAACATTACTTTATCTTCTGATAATACTTGCAGTGTTGTTATGGTTTGGGTCTAGATGTCCCCCCAAAGCCTCATGCAGTTATAGGTGGCTTTTTTAGAGGTAGCTGAATCTAGAGTGTATGATGCTGGGCTTAAAGGACTGCGATTACTAAACCAGTACACCGGTTGGTTTGGCACTGCCCTAATCCTGGTAGTCTGGATGAGATAAAAGGGGCAGAAAGAGGCTGTTTAGGTTCCCTTGTTGCTTTTGCTACTGCGTGGGTGTCATGAACTGTTTCTCCTCTGTGATACCCTTCTGCTATGTGCCACACTGCCTTGGAACCAGCCAGTTATGGACTTAAAACTCTACAAATTGTAACCAAATAAACCCTTTGCCCTTTAACTTTGGTTGTCAGATATTTTGTTTCAGCAATGAGATAAAAGTAACTAACACAAGTGTATTGTTTCTATATTTTCTATTTGCTCATTGATTCATATAATTATTCTTCCCAACAAGACTGAAGGTCCCATGAGAACAAAAGATATGTCTGTATCCCCTCCTTAAAATTCCTGTTCCAATGTCACATTTGGTAGTTGTCAACAAACACAAATTAAATACTAATTGAAATTCAGTAAGTAGCAAGAGATCTGAAAAGTCATTAGAGTATATTTGCTTTGACTACCTTCTCCTTCAAGCTCAGAAGTTTTGCCTAACTATTATTCTTCAAAGGTACAAGTGTATCTTGTTGATGCAGCAGATCAATTTGCCAAATAATTCTAATGTTTCAGATCTTTACCTGAGTCTGCCATCCTCTGCTGCAGCACCTCCTGGTATAATCTTCGTAATAAATATGCCAGGGTCATCTCCAATGTGGGGATTATCTGTCCCCCCAGCAATACTGAATCCCAGGCCAGAATTCCCCTGTAGAAACAATAAGCAGATATTAAATGATGTGGTTGTCACCTAAAACCTAGTTCCTCTTGCAGTGTCTGTTATCATGTTACTACTCAAATGGAAATGATAACAGTCTTGCATGCAAAGTCATAAATTGCACAATCAGCAGACAAATGGAAGGTCAGGGAAAAATACTCCTTTGTCCCTGCATTGTAAGAATTCAAGGGTAATTACATTTTCCTTTAAGAATGCCTTCTTTATGTAGTAATTAAAATGAGCACTATGAATTAAGAAATAAAGGCAAACAAATTATGTAACACAAAAAAACTGCAGAGTCCTTAGAGTGTCAGTTGTAAAAATAGTACAGTCACATAAAAAAATAATAGAAACAAGTTAGTTGGAAATATTTCACTTGTTAGAGAACTGTAATTTGGGTGTTTTCACTTTGTTATTTCTAATTTTGTTTTTCTAATATGGATTACCCATCAAATAAATGTGTTCCTATGTAATATAACATGAATTGACTAGGGGCTTCTTCTAGAATCATAATATAAGCAAGATATTTTCAACAACAAACAGGCTTTCATTTTCAGTGGCAATAAACAAGGCATGCAATAATTTGCTCTCTAAATCTGAATAGTTTATATTCCAACAAACCTTTCATACCTCTGTATATTATAGTAATTGATATCCAATATATACATATCCTTCCAAAATTTGCATTTGTCATGAGTCCTTTAAAAATTGACATGTCATTTATTTCTTATTTATATATTCTCTTTTAATCTGCAACTCCATAGCTATAGGTTTCCATAATTGTGTTCTGTTATTATTTTCAGTTTACATTATATTTCATGCTCTTTCTCTGCAGCAAGATAATATTTAAATTATCCACTATAGATTGCTAAATAATGTTTCATTAAGGTCATATGCAATCAATTAACTGGTCTTTCTCATTGGATATTTAATTTTTCTATATATTTTTACAACAAATGTCACTTACTAAATTTATGATTACCTGATCAAGTTCCATTCTTGCATAAAAGAGAAGACTAAGAATGTAATAGTTAATCATGACAAGTTAATTAGGGTACTCAGAAAAACTTCAATGTCAAGATAAAATCAACTATAACTTGACAGTTATATACAGTAAATGTCAAGGTAATGTCTAGCAACTTTTAGTAAATGAATTAATAAAACTGAGTTCTGGTGTATTACTTCCAAAATTGTATATTTATGTTGAAAAGTTAAAATTAATTCAGACACGCCAACTAAAATTTGATGTCTTTATATTTCTGACTTGTTAATTCTGCTTTGTCTTTGAAAAATTACTAAGCTCATTGAACAGAGATACTACTTTTCAAAATCGTGTAATCATTTACTTATTTAATATTTATTACATACCAGCTCTATGCCTGGCACTAGACTAAGCCAGAGAACTACAGAAGTGAATATTTTAATTTATGAGGCAGAAAGTAAGTGCAGAGTAGAAGTGGCTAAGTGAACCAAACACTGACTTGGTGCCATAGTGCCACAGAAGGAGGAACTTAGTAACAGAGGGGCAGGAACTCATATTAAAATCCCTGAGGTGGGAAAGATTATGCCAGGGCCAATAAATAGGCAATAAAATTAGAACAAAGAAAGCAAGAAGGAAAATTGGATGGGATGAGTCTTGATCATGGTGACCGATGGTGAGAACAGAATCTCTAGGAATCCATTTTGGGGTGATAAGTTTCTATTGACACCAGGTGACTTTATCAGTACTGACGACCATGTGACTGACCCTAATCTAAGGCTGTAAGAGATTAAATCTAGATGACTTCTGCTTCCATGGAATTCCAGGCATAGCAGGAAAAACTGGGAAAGTCTGCCGCCTGGTGATGAACATGTTTCACACAGTATATAATCTCAACTATGTTGTCAAGTATATAGCCATGAAGACAGTAAATAAGTGATTTATGAGGCAATTTCTCTAAGATCCAAAGGTTTGGGGGGAAGGGGATGAGTAGACAAGTATCAGCAACATACCTTGAGTCTAGCTCCAAAACAGGAGTACATTGGTCTGACTCAGGGATTATAATCCCTTGGTTAATGGAGATAGGGAGAAAGTAAGTTGAGATTAGAGAATACCTAAATGCTTTCTTCAGATATCATCAATATATTTGAAGAGAATATACAAAACTTTATCATTTAAGCAAGATGTTAATGATCTAGCTCTTAAACTTGTCTTATTTTTATTTCATACATTAGCTTCTATGAACATTGAGCTGAACAGCTGGCTTTTCTCTGCACAAGCCACATTATAACTCATTTCTAGGCCTTTTTTATGCTGTTTTCTCTATCAGAAACTTCTCATCTCTCACTAGACTACCTCAGTTCTTCACATATTCTAAGATACAGTTCAGATAGCATTGGTTCTAGGTAGTATTTTTTAATTTTAAAATTTTATTACATACTGATAGTATACAAAGTGGTGGTACGATTTTTGAAAATAAACTGGAAATACTAAATCAAGCTAATTAGATATCTCTCTTCAAATATTTAATATTTTCTTGTAATGAAAACATTAGATATTTACTTTCTGCAATGATGAAGCCAGAACTTAGTTATTAGCTATATTCACCATACTGTGCAATTGATTCAAAAAAATTTATCAGACAGGCCTCTCTGAGAGTCATACCCTTTGACTATCATTTCCCCATTCCTTCCAACTTTGAGCCTCTAGTAACTACCATTCTTCTATCTGATTTTATGAGATCAACTGTTTTATACTCCACCTCCAAGTGAGAACAATACAGTATTTGTCTTTTTGTATTTGGCTTATATTACTTAGCAAAATGTTCTCTAAATCCACCCATGTTATTGCAAATAATATTTCTTCTTTTTTAAAGACTGAATAGTATTTTCTTTATCTATTTATCCTTTGATGGACACTTAGTTTGGTTCCACAATTTATTCAATGTGAATAGTGTTGCAATGAATGTGAGAGTGTAGATACTCCTTCAATATGTTGATTTCAAGTCTTTTGGGAAAATAATAAGAACGTTAATTGCTTTCTACTCATTTCTGAGACAAAATACCCAGCACCCAAAGTTAGAGGGGAAGGGGTTTATTCAGCTTACAGTTCATAGAGGTTTCAGTCTGTAATCAGCTGTCTCTGAGGCTGGGATGGCAAATAAGCAACACAGAGGAGAAACAACATGGCACACACAAGGCAGCAAAGGTAACAAGAGAAACTTTTTTTTTTTGGTACTGGGGATTGAACTTGGGCCTTGGGCTTTGGGCCTTGCAAGAGAAATTTAACAGCATCTCCCTGCCTTTTTCATCTTATTCAGACTAATTTGGATGGATAGTACTCACACCCTTAGTCCTAGTGCTCTTGAGCCTAGCATTGCATCATAAATCAATTCCAGCTTCACATACTCTAGATCAAGCCTACCACCACATGAGGCTTGGGGGAGACATCTAGACCCAAATAATAACAATAAGGAAGGGGTTTCTGGATAATACAGTAGTTGAATTTTAGTTTTTGACAACCTATATCATGTTTTTTAACACAGCTGTTGTAATTTACTTTCCCACCAACAATATTATAAGGGTTCCCTGTTCTCATTTTAACTAGCACTTCTTTTGTCTGTTAATATTCATACTAATAAATATGAAGTAATATTTCATTGTGATTTTAAGTTATATCTATTTATATATGTTGGATATTAATCCCTTATCAGATATATGATTTGCAAATATTTTCTTCCAACTCATTGGCTGTCTCTTCACTTTGTTTCTTTGATGTACAGAGGGTTTAATTTAAAGGAAATCCCATTCATTTACCATTGCTTTTGTTGGCTATATTTAAAAAAAAATAATTGCCTAGGTGAGTGTATTTCCTCTTGTATTTTTTCTAATAGATTTATGGTTTTGGGTTTTATGTTTAAATCTTTAATCCATTTGGAATTGATTTTTGGATGTGATGGGACATGAGGGTTCAATTTCATTCTTTTTCATTTGGAGATCCAGTTTTCCTTGGATCATTCAGTAAATAGACTATCTTTTAGCCATATATATTAAAAAAATCAACTCATTGTAAAGATGTGGGTTCTTGACTGGGCTATTTTGTTTCATTGGTTGATAAGTATTTTTATGCCAGTACCATGCTATTTTAATTATCATTGCTTACCATGCTATTTTATTTAGTATTACTTCATGTATAGTTTGGAATCTAGCTTTGTTCATTTGCTCATGACTGCCTTAGATATTTGAAATTTTATGTTATTCCATGAATTTAGGATTATTTTTTCCTGTATCTATGAAAAATGCCATTGAAATTTTGATGGATTGAGAAGAATCAGATCTTTTGGAGAAGTATGGACCTTTTCGCAATATTAAATCTTCCAATCCACGAACACAGAATATCTTTCCATTTAGTTGTATCCTATTTAATTTTTTTAAATAGTGCCATACAGTTTTCAATGTACAGATCTTTCATGTCTCTGGTTAAATTTATTACTAAGTATTTTTGTAGTTACTGTAAATAGGCTTGTTCTCTTTCTTTCCTTCTTTCTTTCTTTC